AGAAATACCAGTGTAGTACAACCACCCCCTCCACCTCCAAGAAATACCTGTGTACTACAGCGACCCCCTCCACCTCCAAGAAATACCAGTGTAGTACAACCACTCCCTCCACTCCCAAGAAATACCTGTGTACTACAACCACCCCCTCCACCTCCAAGACATACCAATGTACTACAACCACCCCCTCCACCTCCAAGAAATACCAGTGTAGTACAACCACCCCCTCCACCTCCAAGAAATACCAGTGTAGTACAACCACCCCCTCCACCTCCAAGAAATACCAGTGTAGTACAACCACCCCCTCCACCTCCAAGAAATACCTGTGTACTACAGCGACCCCCTCCACCTCCAAGAAATACCAGTGTACTACAACCACCCCCTCCACCTCCAAGAAATACCTGTGTACTACAGCGACCCCCTCCACCTCCAAGACATACCAATGTACTACAACCACCCCCTCCACCTCCAAGAAATACCAGTGTAGTACAACCACTTCCTCCACTCCCAAGAAATACCAATGTACTACAACCACCCCCTCCACCTCCAAGAAATACCAGTGTACTACAACCACCCCCTCCACCTCCAAGAAATACCAGTGTAGTACAACCACTTCCTCCACCCAAAAATTCTGTTTCCAATGTTACCAAATCAAATCCCACAATATTCATATTCTCTTGCTTCAGTTTAAAATTCCTTTACAATTGATTATGATCATGTTTATTGCTTCGTACAGCAGTAGTTGTTATATTACTTGACGATCAGAAATGTTGCTATGTATTTGATAATATAACACACAATATTTCTAAAATTATCCTTCATGAAGGGCTATTGGGTTAACCAGAGGATGACAATAAGTCCTTTTTATAACGTCTTGTTGATATTATTAATGGTCTAATTTATCTTGCATTTTTCAAAAAATTAAAGAATTGAATTCCTTTTTAGTTTCATTATGTAGTAGTCACAGTTCTGAGTTTAGATCTTGTATATATGTCAGCCTGATGATGCTTTACTCTATAACATGCTGGATCCAGTTTCTTTATCATATCTGTAGTAAATTCAGAGAACGATATATTGTGAACTGTAACTGGTATTTTTGATTTTAGCATTTTCATAGACTCAACAAACAAAATTATGGTATAGTTTTCTTTTATAATATATCTATATATATCTCATTAATTTTGAAAAATGAAAACAACAACAGATAGCTTTCAGGCTGCATGCCAATTCCTGGGCCATGATTCACAGAATTCAGGCTCAGAGCCAGTCATCTTCCATTAGACTTGACAAATAGGGCTTTTACTTTTTCTGTGTGAACTTTATCTATTTCATTGCGCATATTTTTTGTTTTTATGCTTTGAAATCATTAATTCTGATGTTTGTTTGTAAACAATTGGATCCAATGAGTTCTTAAAAATCTTTTCAAGGGTATTTTGCATCAGCTGTTACAAATATATAACTGTTATTGATTGCAAAGCTGGAAACACTAAGGTTACCCAGGGTATCCAAAGTAGGGAAACACGTGGTACTGTAGGTGACCCCACACCTTTAACATGTCTAATCAGGGAAATGGGGGAAGGAAAGGAGATCACTAGCTTTATATACAGTTTACTTACTCTTAACATATGTCTTGATATTTTATCATATATTGAAAGAAGAAAAAAAAAATTTAAATATTGTAACAGGATGTCCTTGTGTACTAGCTACAGATGATATCACAATAGAAGCTCACTATTTTGAAGATTTGAAGGATTGACGGTAAAGAGGATGTAGGAGATATCAACAGATGTGTAAATATCTAGGTGTGCCAGAGTGCATTCACTCACGAGTAGGTGCTGCTATATAAAACGGAAGAAAAAACAAATTTTAATTTGTAACTTTTACATGAACCTAGATTATACAACAATGTTGAGATGATTTCTACTGATTATTCTGTAAGATGTTAGAATGCAGTGCAGATCTGAAACAGGCGATGATGTGGTATATGCATCCCATACAGGTACAAAGCTATTATGTCAGGATCTAACATATGCTCCTCAACTCTTTATGTAGTTTTAAACAAGTTTATATATAGGTTGTGATTCACTGTTGAATAATTGGAAAGGTATTATTTTTGGAAGCAAATGTTGTAATTGGTACTGAAGTGGAAGCGTTTGAGAGAAACAAACAACCTCTACATTAAATGTCAATTAAGAGAGAAACCGAAAAGTGTAGGCATGTTTATATATATGTATGTCTTTTCCTCCAGTTACTCTGCTAGCCAATATTTTTGTCTGATAATTGAAGTTGGCAGCAGACTTGAACTGTTTTTGACCACGCAAAAGCCTTATATCTGATTGTGAATGAGTTGGTAAACAGAGGTTAGATAGTTTCTGGGGGAGAGGTTTTGTGAAAGTATCGTGTGAGAGGAATGTACACTTACTACATACTCTTCATATGAGATGGATAAGGTAAGGTGTTACTTCTGTGTACTTGTACCTTAGGAAAGTTCCGTCCGTACTCTTAGTTGAAACTGAACTTGAAATGAAAATTTGATATTTTTAAAAGGTTAAAAGTTTTAGCTCTGAAACCTGGTGTAGGGGGTTGTGATCAGGAGCTTATGGTATGGTGCTTAGTCAGGTGTCTGACAGTTGTGTGTCAACTTCTTTTTAAGGTCGCTTCTGGTCTTGGACTATTGTGGTAATTTTGACCAAATTTCTTGGATGAAGGGAAACCAATTTTATATAGATGATTGATCTTGACCCCAGATGCCTAAGGGATGAGGCCCAAGAGGGTAAAAAAAGAGAATATTATTTGAAATCCTGTTTTTGCATGAATTACAAGATTTTGTCCTAATTTGTTAGAATAGTCTCTAGGGAAAGGAGACTTAATTTTGTATCATTGGTTAACCTGCTCTCCTTGGTAAAAGGGACTTATAAATTTTGTAGAGGGGTGGGGCCCAATAAAAAAAATAAAAAATAGAGAAATATCTTTGAAATCTTTCTTCTGATGGGATGTAGATAATTTTACTATATTTAGTGTATCATAAGCATCCTTTGGGAAAGAGAACAAGGTTAACGTTTACATTGGTTGTGCTGTCCTGGAAGTTGGGGTTGGGATGGGGGAGGAGAGGGAAGAAAATCTTATAAATTTTAATCCTTTACAAAAAACAAAATCCAGATGAGCAATGTAGGTCCTGTGGGCCTATTGTTTGAAATAAAACAACACACCCTGTTCAACCCATTTAGTGCCCTTTTATCAAAGTGAGTGCATCATGCACAAAATACCACCACAATATCACTTTCAGTGGGGACCACGAAATTTTGATAGAGTAAAGTAGGGGAGGGGCGCTTACAGGGACATGGGTACTTGTTGGGTCAAATATGGTATGTTTTTATCACGTAAAGTTTTTCTTCTCGAGCTGAGTTGATGAGTTGGATATGTGGTTGTAATTAAGATTTTCATTAATTTACCACGAATGAGATTGAATTCAATGAAGTGACAGAATTTAAAATTTCAAATTTAACCAAAGACTTTTGAAGTGGAGATTTTCCTGTTTCTTGACAGATATATAGACCTCGTCATGATTTCAAGATCTTAATCCTAGGTAGTATTTTCAGTGCAAATTGATCATAATGAATTTATCTGTTCATTAGTCAAAGATCAGAGGCCAAAGATTTAAAAGTTCTAGTTATGTACCTGTTTAAGATTTTTTGATTATCTCAAAGCCCTATAACAATCTACTGAATCTCATCCCTGGTAAATGTACGTAGTGTCTTCTTGAGACTCCACAAGAGTTTAATGTGACTTATGATTTCTATATGTAGCGGTTCATCGGAAGCTCTAACATTCAGGTTCAAAGTGAATTAAGAAAAACATCAGACTGGTTACTTTGTAAAGGATAAAAAGGTGTATATGTGTGATAACAATCACTTTTAGTGGCAGCCTGTCTTCAGATTCTGTCTGCAGGTAATAATTGTTGGACTGGATCTGGAATTTGATAGGAATATAAAAAAAAGGGTCAGGTTATTTTTAGATGTAATGTTCCAACACCACCCACCCCAACCCCCACCACCATCCCCAACCCCTGCCTTTTTATGAGGTCAAATTATACTTCTCAATGCTATTTGATGTGGTTATAGGAATTGGTAGGCAAGGGGAGATAAGTCCTACATCCTTACAGATATTAATGGTGAGGCCTCAATAAATAAATGACTTCGGCAGTTATTTACATCCATGATGTTTAGGTGGGAATTCTCTTTTGATTTTAAATGTGTTCTTCCTTTTATCAGCTCTCTAAAAGGCAGTATTTAGTTGATGATTGTGATCTTTGAATTCAGTGTTAAGGGAGTGTTGTTACCAAACAGCTGCTTTAAGTGTTTTGTATTGGATAATTGTAGAAAATGTAGATGGATGAATTGCTGACCCACCAAGTAAAGCATACTCATGGAAATATTAGTTTTACATGTGATGGGATTTCGTTTATTGTTCAAAGGTACAAGGTCAAAGGTCACTTTTGATCACTTTGAAATGATAAAACTTGTATTAAATGCATCTTTTCTGATTCAGCACATATTTACATCATAGTGTTGGAACATCACGTTCTACACTGATTATATCTTGATGTTCATCAGTCAAATTAAAGGATATGTTTATAGGAGTTAAAGCTCAGACTGAAAAGTTTTTAAAAGAAAAAAGAAATATAAAAAACGTATATTCAAAAGATCTTATGATCCCCATAGTTAAGTATTAAGGACATGTTCATGCAAGAATATTTTGAAGTCTTTTCACATATATAGATACTTTTTAGTGGTTACCTATGGGGGTAAATCTTTGTTGGTCCTTGCCCATTTTGAATTTCCTTATATTTTTGAACAATCTGAAAATTTATGTTTTGAAAAACATGAGTTTCCATATAATTTGCTCAATGTTGTGAAAAACTGATCAGTTTCCTTAAAATTTGCTCAATGTTGAGAAAGTGTTTTACATTAATTAATTTGGTGTATGTAAACTATATTTTTTAGGATCTGGATGTCATCTTTTCCTATCTGCATGGGATGGAGGCTCTGTCCTCTCTGCGAGAGCCTGCCCTACGAGCCTTGTGTCGTACAGTCCGCTATGAGTGTCATGATGCAAACGACATTTTATACTGGTAATACAGTTATGAATTTACAGTATTCTAGCATCATTTAGGCACCCGTTGTTCCATCTGATGATTAACTGTAACAAATGTGTACTATAGTCTAGCTTTCATTATGGAAACAATGGAAATAAAATTTGATATTTTTTTATATGTTGTATTTTGATTGACATTTGGGTATCCCTGAAGAAAACTGATATATGTTTCAAGTGAAATAATGCATTTAAAAAGCTGAACAATTCAGTTGTTAAAACAACGTTTATTATCAATACAAAAAAAAATGCAAATTGCTGTTTAAGAACAGATGTCTAGTCACTTGATTTGAATTATGAAATCTTTTTTAGAGTGCAATATTTTTTATGTGTTTGGAAAGCATAAAGGCCTTTGATGCTGCGTTTGTTGTTTGTTACAATAACAAAATACATTACTGTGCAAATGAAAAACCAGAGTTCACAGTTCAAATGTTGTAGCAAGGTCCTAAAAGGAAAACTTTGTGGTCTTGTAATTGAGAGATTGTTTTTTTAATCAAGCCTGATGCAAACAGTCTGATTTGAAACAGATGGGCGTAATTTAAATGCACAAGATTGTACATTTCATTCATGGTAACATAATCTGGTGTATGTTTCTATAGCATGTGCTCACAGTGTTGTAAATATCCTTGAATTTTGATGTTTGAAAATTCTGGTTAAAGAAACAAAAGATTCAGAAAATAAGTGTGATGTTTGGGATTATTTATGTTCTGCTACCATAAAATAGAGGTGGGGAGGGGCTGAGTTATATATTGTAAAGTGACATTATTTTTCTATGGGATCGAGGATTATGTGTTTAAAACTGTCACAATTAATATATCATGGTGAATAATCCTACTGTTTTGCAGTAGTCATTTTGGGTTACAAAAGAAAAAAAGTCTCTAAATTTTGAATATGAAATATTAAATTTTTTTTCCAGCCGAGAAGAGTTGAGCACATGTTGGTATATTCTACTTTCCGGATCTGTGTTTATCGAGGGTTCCATGTTCCTTCCAAGGAGCAGGTGAGTAATTTTTCTCTTAAAGGAGCCTTACAGAAAACCATACATACAGTTTGATATGAAAAACTCTCCCCCTTTCTTCTCCTAGAACAAAATGTATCAGTCATATTGATATTTTTATGATTGAGTACCGCCTCAATTTGTCCTGAAATCTCTAAAACCCACACATTGTAACATGTGTTCATGATTAATGGGTAGAAAAACCAATTTTGTCAACAAGATTAATTTGGTGCGACCAAGTGGGTAGCCTGCCCTTATTTCTAGCTACAGAAAGTGCACGAGTTTGTCATTAGACCAGTGACCAGATCACACAGGAAATGGACACTAGAGCATGTGATTGATGGGCGTCTGTTTCAGGATTAGTAATTGATTTGTATTGTCTATTTCTAACCCAACATACATTGCCACTGACCAAGTTAGATATGCTATTGAAAGTGCGGTGAACTTTTCGACCAAGTTGATGCCCTAACAAAGAGAGGTGTCCAGATTGTAAAGGTTGTTGTATTATACTTGTTTTCTGTTTAGACAGGAAGCATGAGTTGAGAACACAAAAAATACACATATTGATGTGAATATGGGTTGTTTATACATATTTTTCTGTCTGACTTGTACAGCATATGATAAAAATTTGTGTATTATAATTCAACTGACAAAGGGAGGTCTCAAACTTGAGATCTATGGAACCAGATTGCCTGGCCAAGAAATTTTACAACTGCTCTAACCATTACACCACCATGGCAGAGGTAGAAATTCTTGATATGATCCTAGTTGTGGTATAGTGGCAAATGTGTGATATGAACATCTGGATCTCAGTGTTCACACTGATACAGATCATACAATTCTGCATGTGATATTTTAAATCAATTAAGTGAAAGTGTTATTTCATATCTAATAACTCTGGTGCAATGTCTTGATTGTTTTTCTTCTGCAATATTTTAGCCAGAAATGCAGGTGTGGCAGGGAGGGGGTTGGGCAGTGCAGAAACAATATGTTGATAATTCTTCAATAGCTGTTGTTTGGCTTTCACCAGGTTTATAGTTCAAAGTAATTAACAAATTAATTTATTGTTTATAAAGCTGGAGCTACAAAAAGGTTCTTACCATCTACTACTGAGTTTTAGATCTATAAACAATATATACAGGTCTGTGTTGCCTTTTTATTATGGTAAGTTAATTGACATACAACACCTGTGGCATAACTCCTGGCCTTGGGGAATAGCTGGACCAGCTAACTATAGCAGCATTCTGGATATAGGGGTACAGCAGCTGATCAAAGCCTCTCCTTTCTTGATGTGGGCCTGCTGTAGATTTTCTAGGTAGGGGAACACGGGAGCCGCCAAGATTGATATCTAAGGAATCTCACGTATTTATATCCTACGCAGCTTTGATATTTACAAAATCAATTCTCAAAATTCTTCTATTTTTCTTTTCTTTTTCACATGGTTTGGCTGATCATTAAAGTAAGATTGACAATTTGTGAGAATTATGTTATTAAATAAAATGAAGTCTTGATTCAGGAATTTAAGAATATTGCCGGTGGGTATAGATTTTGTTGAACTTCTTTAACATATTTTTTTAACTGTAATGGTTTTCACAGAAAAAAATTTGAAACAGGAATAAACGGAAATAAACTATTCTATTGATAAAAAGTGTAATCATATGGATAGTAAACTGGGAAACTGATATCTGAAAACAAATCGTAAATTCAGACCTTCTGCTCTGGCTCTCTGATAGACATGTGTTACTATATGACTTTGTCTTAACTATCTCTGGAACTACAGTAATGTCATGTTGAGTGTTCTCGCGTTCAAGGTGATAGAGGCGTATTGCAATCGTCTGCGTACATCTCTCTGTGTTTTTATTGTTATTGATCATCAGCAGCGCTAAGATTATATATTGGAAGAGTGAATAGGAGTTTCCGAGTCTATCGGTTTTAAAGCGGGCGGCACATCTTTGTGGTGCGAGCAGGTGGTCTGATATTCTGGCATGTTATCTCTGCATTTTTACTGATTATTCAGTAATATTATAAAAATGAGGTGAAAATTTTTTAGGTACTTTACAAGTTAGTCTATACTTTTAACCTTCCCTTGATATCATGGTAAATACATTTTTAATGTATGATACCAAGATGATAGGAATGTAACAATTCAGCTGAAGCATATCTCGACATATTGTGATGCACTGGGACTATATAACATTATGTATCACATTATAACACCTTTCATAGTTTTGACGTTATTTGTATTTTTTATTCTGAAGTGGTAAGCTATCAAAATTGATACAAGGATAAAAGACATGAAAAACTTTTGTTACCAACTGATACAGGGTCTCAGTAACGTCTCATTTTTTCAAGTGTCTAATTAGTTGAAAAAACATGCAGGGCCGGGTCAAGTTTAGCCACAGTTTTTATTGATTCCTGAAGAAATTGATATAAAATGTTGAAAGTTGGAAATATACCATGATATACAGGGATGTGATTTTTGTACTACGATGCGATACATTTTTTGTGTGTATTGAAACATGCTGGTGTATTGTTATCCCTCTACAAATAAATCTAGGTGTAATTAGTTTTGAAACACATGTGAATTTCTCAACAGAGAATGTGTTTGTTTGGTTATTTTCTCACCATGTCTGATTATAGCCTTACAAATGGCCTGCAGTCATTTTTATGCTGGATAAGTTCTTATAAAGCAGCAGATGGCTACCTCACTGAACAAAATGCTGGAGGTCCACACAGAAAGTCTGATATGATATTCAATACATGTATCTAAGGTGACACTAACAGATTATTCCCCTATAAATGTCGTGATGGACTTTATCAAAATTTTCGTGCAAAAAATTCCACTTCAGGGCTTTCTGTGAAAAGCCTGATAGTTTTTATAATGATATCTAATAGTGATGTTTAGCATTTCTTCAGGCCATATTGATCAGAAACAGTTACCTAATACTTGAATGATTAAGATTTCTGTAAGGGGTTAATATGATGAATGTGTGTAGACTCTCAGCATGTATCAATTATTTTTTGTTAATATCTAATATTTGTTTTGTGTGGGTAAATTTTTTTTTGCATGTATATTATTTCTTCAGTTCTTGGAAGTTGATGTTTTTAGGAAAACTAAAAACAACAGAACAAAAATATCACTTGTATAATACATATCTGTTTGTAATAGTTGACCTTTGACATTGAAATATAACTATCCAGTTTAAATCAACTTGGTGCAGTTTTGTAGGCAAAGAATATAAAATTCAGATAAGGTGGTATTATAGTAACTGTTGTTCAAGCATAAAGGAATGTGTGTTACCTACACTGTGATGTGGTGTTTTATTAGTTCAGGTAGGTTATAACAAGTTACAAGCACATTGTACATGGTTATAGTTTCACTATCTGACTGGTGCCATCTAGATGTAGACTTCATATAAAAATATCCTCTAGAGATATACAGTTTAATAGACTAACTCTTGGTCAGCTTGTAAAACTGACCAGTGAAGGATTAATATATGTCACCATGGAAATATGACTGTCCTGCAGGCAAACTCCGGTCATGCAGCAGTAGAGCCAATGACAAGTGAAAAGGCTTCGCCAGGTGTAAACATCAGTATGAAAACAAACTTGAATGAGAAGACATTTTTGACTTGTCATCGAACATAAACTCCTTGAGGACATTTATAACAGGTCTTTCTATGTAAACACAGTGTTTGGCAGGCAGGCCACAGCTTCTCCATAGCATACACGCACATGCATTAGTGGCACACTGAGTACAGACAGGCGGTATAGATTCTTGCTTCACCTCCCACCAGAATGGAACATCCCAGCGCAGTTGAGTATGATCCCTGACCTGAACGCTGGTGTCATACAAGGCAAACTGCAGAAAAAATTCCATGTTTCCTTCTGATCATCGAAGTTTTGGGATATATACTATTTCTGGAGTGAAAACTTAATTTGCCACTGAACAGGTCACTGTCTCTAGTGTGTATGTATGTGTACTACTGTGTTTGGATTCGCCTAACTTCATAAGATACTGTGATTGTTAATCTTATGGTCCCTGTTATTTATAGAACTGAGGTGAGTACAAATATCTGCTGAGGTCCAGAGGCTGGTGATAGTATACCCCTGTTGTTTAGGTGAATGGGGAGATTTGACTGAAAGGAGTCTCAATGTAGCATTATCTTAAGACAGAGTGTCTTTGTGCATGACCATTGAATGTTGTATACATGTGTGCTGTAGTGTAATATCTTCTCCAGTACTTGACTTGGTGGCATCTTCTGTCTGTGTGTATTACTGTTATGATGTACACATGTACAAGCCTGATCAAGTGGCAACACTGAGGCAAGTGAAGTTAAAGATTTTAATGCATTCAAATGTCTCTAGAAAATGTAAAAAAACCAGATTCCTAATGGAGGGTTACTGGCATTGTGATATGTGAGAGCTGATGCCTGTCTCATGTTGATGACAATTTTATCTCTTATGTTGTCTTTCATGTCATTTGTTACGACTTCAACAGACATGAAGATTTATTAAACTTTTATAGGAATCAAGCTACATGGACAATAATTAGATTTCATCATTCAGTTTTGATATTTGACTTTTAGTTTTTAACATACTGTAAACATCCATTTATATAATGCACACATTTTTTAAAGAAATTTTTGTTTTTCAAAAAACCTCGTGTGCTCTATACACTAGAACAAGGTATTTCATGAAAGTGCTCAGACTCGGGGCCAATACTTTCTCAAAGGTAATTTCTGTACGACGCTGTCAAAATGATAAAAACATAAAGAAATAAAACATATTTCCATGTTTAATGTGTTAAATTTTCATCTTGATGATTAATGGAACATTGTAAATTAGATCTACCCACTACGTAGGAGTAACCTGAACAATGCAGATATTTACGTAATCGTAAGCTTAATTTTCCTTTGTAGAATTGTACCACTGTATCATAAAGTCGGTAAATCTATATGTTCATTCTGAAGAAGCTCAAAAAAGAAATATTTGAGTTCTTC